AAAAAAAAAAAAAAAAAAAAAAAAAAAAAAAAAAAATTCGGTAGTATACTAGGTTTTTGAGTGGATGAATGAACAACTACCCTATGCTTTATGGAAGTTATATTCAAGTCATAGGGACAGATGATAAGTAATTAAAGTAGTAACAGATTGTAGTAAGCGATAGGGAAGAAATAAAATATTTAAAAAAATGGAAAACTTGTAGGGCTCAGGATCTATTTAAGATTGGTGGATTAAGAAACATCTGTCTGAGAAGGTGGCATCAGTCAAGACCGGGAAGAAGATGAGAAGGAGCCCGAATGTCCTACTCAAGAACAGCTGATGAGAAGAGTAAGATCAAAGCCCTAAGACAGATAAGAGGTTGAAGTGTTTGTAAGTAAAAAAATACCAGAGGGTCTGGAGCAAAGGAGAGGGGAGTCAATGGAGAATACAGTACACGACTCAGCAAAAATAGGAAATGAACTATTAATACACACAACGGCATGGATGAAACATTATACTGAGCCAAAAATGGCAGACTCAAATAATGTATCATGTATACTTCTATTTATGTACAGTTCTAGTACCATCAAAATTCATCTATTGTGAAAAAAACTCAGATCAAGGTTTTTCTGGTTGGGATGGAGAAGAGCTGATTGAGTACAAAGGGGCAGGGGAAATAAGCGATGGAAACATCTTGATTGAGGATCTAGTGGCTATGCAGGTGTTAGAACTCATCAAATTGTGTATTAAAATATTTACATTTCATTGTTGTAAGTTTCAGAGTAATAAAACTAATTTCAAAAAGAGAGAGAGTCTCACATTGATTAATTTGCTGATAAAGGGGTCACGATCCCTTGAACTTTAAAATTTGAAAGTATCAAAATGCTCCTTTAGAATGCCCATTCTTTTCTTGGAGCATTTCCAGGTTTCTCCCAGAAGAAGCAAATGTGTTCCCACTTCCTCTCAAAACACCTTCATCTGATGTTGCTTATAGTAACATAAGAGCCTGAATTCTAGACTTTGGTAGGAAACAGTGGCGAGGAGGTTAACCAATCTGGTGCAGTGATTGAAAAGGAAACATGCTTTTAAAAACAGTTAATAAAGTTAACTTAAAAGAAAATTAATGTTAAAATATGGTATTAATATTTCTAATGACTTTCCCACCACCTTAAACCATACAATATGCTATCTTCAGGAGAGAATTTTCTTTCTCATTCTTTTTCAGAAACTTAATTCTGAAATCCATTGTCCTCAGGGAATCAGCAAATTTTGAAGAGAGGCCAACACTTCAACTCGCCTAATTTTCATTATTAGCAGTCTCAAAAAGTCATCCAGCAGCCCTTTAGAATCTAGATTTTCAAGCTTCTGGAATATTAATCTGTTCCACAGTCCCTTGTCCTCTCACATTGTCCACTCCCCTAAGCTTTGGCACTGCATTAACATTTTCTGTATGCTTTTGTTGTTATTTTAGTAATTTTTTTCTTATATTAAAATTAAATTTCTTCCAATTGAGGCTAATTTTGAAAAATATGCTAAGATTAAAGAAAAATGAAAATGCCACAAATTTTGCTATTCTGAGCAGCTATTATTAGCATTTGGATGTATTTCCTGAATCTTCTTCTGCACACTTGAATTCCTTTTTAGAATTGACATCAAGCCCTATGGGCAACTTTCAAAAAAAAATTTAATATTATATCTTGACGACTTTTCTTTTTTCTTTTTTGTCTTTTTTCCGTGTCCGGCAACGGATTGCAACCCTCAGTGTTGCCCCCGTACCGGACCGGGGACCGGCGACGGGATCGCAAGCCTCGGCGTTGCTCAGAAGGCCACAAAGAGGCCATATGCACGATTCACTCTCGTATCAGCACACACCAACTTCAGCACAGCCATGTGCTCACAGTATGACTGGGGGATGACCTGGTTGGGGCAGAAGGGCATCCTGGAGACCATGAAGCAGAAGGGGCTGACCCACAGCAGCCCTCTCATCATCACAACCGCCCCCAGTTTGATCACTACAGATGGCGTCAGGATACTAGAGTGCCTGAGTGGGAAGCAGATAGCCACATAGCGGTCCAAGGCCATGGCCATGAGCACCCCAGACTCCACAGAAGAAAAGGCATGGATGAAGAACACCTGGATGAGGCAGGCATGGTATTCAATCTTGTGAGCTTGAAACCAGAATATAGCCAACATTTTAGGTTGGGTGGAGGAGGAGAGGACCAGGTCAGTGACTGACAGCATGGCCAGAAAGAGGTACATGGGCTCATGCAGGGTGTGGTCCGTTCGGATTATGTGAAGGACAGTGATATTGCCAACTACAGCCAAAGCATACATAGCACAGAACGGAAAAGCAATCCAAAATTGGGAATTCTCCAGTCCTGGGATTCCAAGCAGGATGAAGAACACAGGATGAGAAGAGCTGTTCCCTGATGCCAACATCACGGGACAGTTAATAGGTTCTCCACTGGGAAGGTATTCTACTCTCTGCAGATGATAACAATCAAAGCTATTATTATTGTGACTTATAAGTCTCTTGGATGCATCAATTAGTTAGCAGAGCAATTGAGTTTAATGAGAAACTGAAATAATTTCAACTGTTTTAATAAATAAAATTTTTCAACTTGAAATTATGCTGCTCTTTATTTTTTATTCATATTTATGTCATTCAAAATGCTGTTAGAACATACTAGCTGTAAGTGTAATATTTTTTAAGAATAAATATTTTTCCTGAAATAGAATCTGCTAAGGGAAAACTATCTTGAAAAATAATGTCATGATTTTTTTCCTGTTCTTTAGAACTGACAGCTGATATGTTTAACCTTTCCATAGGTCATTTTTATCCCTCCATTAAACCCCTAGGGCAACTCTTCAGCATAGAAAGCCAGTATGGCCTAAAGACCCACAGCAATTTATGTAGTGATGTTGAGTAGATTCTTACAGTAGAACAGTTATCATGAGGGTTGGGTCTGGAAGATAACCACCTGGCCAATTGTGCACCTGTAATTAAACATATTATCTTTAATGTGTGGCTCATCATAGATTAGAGGTCAACAACTTTTTTTCTCTAAAAAATGAGAACATAGATATTTGAGACTATGTGGGCCATACAGTCTTTATAATATTTAGCCATTATAGTTTGAAAGCACCCATAGTCAGTACACAAGTGTGTCAATGTAGTTGTATTCCAATAAAACTTTATTTACAAAAACAGACCACAAACTGGATTTGGTCTGCAGGTGATAGTTTGCCAACCTCAGTCCTAGATAATACATTTTTCATGAGGTCAGACCTGCATCCTGCACTTTCCCTAGCACCTCTGTGCTTGGTACAGAGTAGGTGTTTAACAAACATTTTCTTCAGAAAATAACAACTATATGCCATTATTCATGGCAATAGATGTATTAACTGGTTAACAGTATTCTAAAACGTCCTAAAAGAATGCTTTTAACCCTACATTGATGTCATGCCCATCAGACAGTTATGTCCACTTCTCATACTGAGGTTGTTCTGCTGCCAGTGAACACTGTGTAAATGCCATTCTCTGTCTCTACTTGCCTTACCTGATTTGCTTCTACCATCTGATCCCTCTGGTGGCTACTACCTACCTCAGAATCCATGGCACAGAGCTCTCATGGCTCTTACCCTGCACTTTTTACTATTTAATCTCAGCTGTGCTGTGTGTTGGTTTGAAAGCCTTAGTTCTTACCTCCTTCATAACAGAAGCACCTGGGAAAGAAGCACACCCTTTCTAATCCCTCTGAACAAATTATCTCTGAGAACTAACAAATATTTCATTCAACTAGACGGAATGGTTCCTTACAGTTTTTTCTGAAGATCTCAAATAGGCCTAACTTATTTTTAATCTTCCCTGGATTTATAAATGTAAAGTTGTTTTCTAGTCAGCCTGGAGCTGCAGAGTTACAACGAGACATGTACTAACCAGACCCTGAGAAACCAAGGAAGACATCAGAAAGGCTATGCTGACTTCACTCCTCCAGCAGGACCACACGATAACATCAAGGATGGGAACAGAAACAAGATAGAGCGCTGGCGAGACTTTGCATCCTGAGACCTTGCATGAAGCCCTCAAGGATCACGTTCCTCTCGCTCCTGCTTTTCATTTCCCCCTTTCCATACCCCCAACCCCTCTTAAAAAAAACCTGAGTAAATCTGAGCATTTGAGATGGCTTTAGTCTGGCCATTCTCCTTCAGGTTTATCAGAGAGATGGGTTAGTCTAACATCTCCCCTCAGGTCGCTAGTGTTCCTGAATAAAATCTGACGTCTATTTTCACTAACATTTGACTTTTGGGTCATTTGTTTTTATTGAGGGGCAGGCAGACTTGGGTCCAATAACAAGATTTGAGAAGCCAAGCCAGGAGCTGAGTACCCCCGGTATCATACATATTATCTGGGGCCCAGAGGCTACATAAATCTAGGTCTGTATTCTCTTCTACCTGTCCTGTCTTCCCAAACTGCCCTATCTATTCTGTTTGAGCCAGTGTCTTCCTCCCTGTCTTCCTCTTGTCCCCTGTATGTCACTCTCCTCTGTGGGCACACAGTCATTAAGGCTCAGGAGCACCCGGAAAAGCAAACTCAGACCATGCTAATTCCTGCCCCAGACACTGGAAGAGGTACTGGCTAAAAGTACAACTTCTCAAAGAAAATAATAATCTCTGATAAATTGTGCCAGAGATGCTATTTTTCAAAACACAGCACTATAGCTTTTAACATTTATTGTTTCTAACATACAAAAAAACTCTGCAAACTCATTTTATGATGTGAAAAATAGAGTTCAGAGCAGTTAAATGATTTGCCCAACATCAGTTACTGCACCCATTATGTGGACATAGTAGTGTCCATCAGCTGTGGCTAAAGCCCATGGAGGGATAAAGGATAAATAGGCTGAGATCATGCTAAGAAAGAGCTTTGGAAAATTTACACGAGCAGTTCTAACAGATCCTAGGATTCAGCCTTCAGTTGAGACCTCAGATCAGAGCCTATTTAAAGGACTATGTCTGGCCTTTCCCTTTTCCCAAGCATTAGTTCTCTCCATTCCCCTAAGTCCTACTGCCTCAAACTCACACTGGCTTCCTTTGAGACTGGAGACCAGAGATGGAAGCATTAACCCCTCACTTTCCTCTCCCCTCTGTACACATAAATGAGAAGACAAGGGATTTGAGCGTATGTACAAGAAGGCAGGTTTTTGAGCTTATTGGGGTGCACATAGTTCTTGTTATTTGGAGTATGTATATTAACTGTTAGAGAGATCTTTTGTGGAATATGAAAGTGTGTTAATATGTGCTGTATGTTGATGTGTGTATCTGAGAGGTATGTTAATAAATACCTGTATACGAAACTGGATTTGCATGTGAGTGTTTATAAACCTTGTGTATATGTGAAAGTATGACTAATCGTTTGCTTTAAGTATGCATAGTTAGTGTGATTCTACCGTTCTGCGAGTTCAAGTTCCCTGAATGCACATGGTTGGTGAAGGTACATGCCGAGCTCCATACGTGATATTGTGAGATTGCATATCAGTATGTATAATATAAGCATGTATCTACAAGGAGTGCAAGTTTGATGAGGATGTTGACACTTCACTGTGTACTGAAGTAGCTGTGTTTCCAAGGCCCCCCCCCTGCCCCCAGCTTCTGAGTGGATAATTATCTGGAGAGGCAAAAGGATTCTGACAGAGACCCTGCCATAGTCATTTCTGAATATTTGTGGGACTGGAAGACTCTGCTGACTCAACCTGAGCAGTTAAAGCCTACACAGAGTTTCCTCTCTCTCAGTTCCTATACAGGACCCTACTGGTATTCTCAATCTCTCTCTCTTTTTCCTAAGTACTCCCTGATTTTTCTTTATTTCATCTTTGATGATAAAACAGGAAGGTTTGAGGAAGGAGCATTTAAAAATTGAAAGATAAGATTTATTTGTAAAGAATGCAAAACTGTCAGACTTCAGAAGATAAGCCTCACAAAACACAAACCCATCATACGTTTAAAGAAAAAAAAGTAAAACAGAAATTACCAATGATATCAGGTTTACATTAATGAGTATGTGGTAGATTGTGATCATAATATTTACAAAGGACATAATTTACTTTCAGACATCAGCCTAACAAAATCAGAAATCGTATTGTTTTTGTTAGGGAGTTTGTGTTAACAGAACATATTTAGGTTCTATTATTTTTGGGATCAGGCTGACGAAGTACATTGGAATTTTTGTTTCATCTCATTGTCTCAGGGTGCAAATTATTTTTCTTCATTTTTTTAAACTTTCATTTGTGAGGTGCTCAATATAATGAAGCACAACAAAATTTGGCTGCTCCTCCTCCTTCATTTTAGGGAAAGTTTTTCCCTCAAACAGAATGTGACATCTAACAGCCATCTTCTGACTCTTACACAATCTTAAATGCCACAGTGACTCCAAACAGACCTGACACCAGGCTCTTGTGGAAATTACTTCTCGGGCCACACACTACTATTCAGGTTTGGTGGGGGATGGCTTCCTGGATGGATTGACCCTCCAATGGACCCCTCATCATTTGTAACTTTCACAACCTGGTACCTCTGCAAGATTCATTGAGGATCTAGGAATCTGGCACACAAGTCTGCTCTGACACCCAGTCTTATTAGAATGTGCAAAGAATTCAGGGCAGTATTGAGAGCCCAGTTAAGGTTGCGTATAAGAAACTTGTAGCCACACCAGTGTGCGATTGTAGGATTACAAGGGGATGACAGAGAAGGATGTTTAGAAAAGAAGTTTTGATGGAAGAAAATGTTGATGATATTGACTTGTGAATTCTGGGACACTTCAACAAATCTACATACAAAGCCTGGCCACATCCATAGTCTCATAGTTCTTATCTCTTCACTTCTGTTACCTTTATCTCCACAGTACCTCAGCCAATTGTGTATGGACATGTCCTGGACCTTGTCACTGCTCAGAGATACTAGAACTCTAAATTTCTGAGCATCTTGCCCTTAAACTACAGTATCCCGTCTCTCTGTGCTTTTGCTTATCCCATTTTCTTCCACGTCATCAACTCCTTTATATATACGTGTGTATATAGCACATAATATACAGTATAAAAGTTATTATATGGACATATATTATATAAACATAATATACAAAGATGTATGAGTACATAGAATAAATACAAGGGGTCTTTAAAGTTTTCATGGAAAGATTTGTATTATGTTTAAATTCCATTTTTCCATTTTCTTGTGTATGAGTTCATGCTGGAGTATAGTGAGCTCCCAATCCTATATGACTGGAATCTTTATATGAAGGGGGCATTTAGACACAGAGATCCATACACATGAGAATGCCATGTGGATGTGAAGGCAGAGACCAAGATGATGCATCTACAAGCCATGGCTTCTAGCAAACCACCAGAAGCTAAGAGAGAAGACGCATGGAACAGATTCTCCTT